GTATCTGTTGACACCATTTGCTTATTGTTCCGATAGGAACAGATTGTAAATTATGCAGAAAATAAATTAAAAAAATAAAAATAAAAAAAAATTGTCATTATACATTTCACGCAAACAATTTTATAGCTTACTTTCCTTCATCAAATGTCAATAAAACAATATTATAATTACTACAAAAACTTACAATTATTAACTGTTCCCCCACAAGACGTAGATTTTTTTGCATACAAATAATGGATTTGATATGGACTTTTTAGCAAATTCAAACAAACACGTAAGATACTTGATAGAAAAATTTTCAGTGTTTAAGTCTGTTCTAAGTAGTGTAAAATTATACTACAAATGTGTGATCTACACACATAATATTTATTTTACAAATTTAACCATCGCATGAAAACATAAAAACGAACAAGTAGTACTACAGCATTGTAGAGTCTACCTTCAAGACTATGAAATGTTTTAAGTAATAATAATTATAACTAAATTTATAACCTGACACTTCCGAAATCTCAGCTCACAATATCCATTTCTTCGTGTATTTTAAGTCGCACACGTACAAAAAATTGGAATTTTTCTGCTTATAGATCAATAACTTGAATACCTAGAACGCACTTTCTTCATAAGAAGAGGAAGTAATGTATTCGTGCGTCGTAAAACATCGAAAAAGAAAAGCAGGTAGAAAGGCAGAAAAAACTCTTATTGTTGGCAACGAAAAAGTGAATAATATCCTATTGCTGTTTTTAATTTTGATAAAAACGGTTTTAGAAATTATCCTGGCGTGCATTTGTGGCTCTTTGTCAAGTTAATTTCTGAATCAATCAAAATTAATAACACAAAACATTCGAACTAAGAGTGTAATGTTCTTACATATTCATATTATCATATTTTAAATTAATTAAAAACCACCATAATTTTTAAAACATAATAAGAATTTATGTACCTGAAGAAGCGAACAAGTAATGCGTGAAACGTACTTACAATATAAAATAATTTATTTCAAAAATTAAAATTATATGAAATACAATTCATTGGTTACATATTAAATAATGCTACTGATTGTCTTAAACCATCATATACAGAAAATAACTAAATTTATAAACAATCAACATAACTAGTCAAGAATATGGTCAACTCGTACGTTAGCAACTAACTTCGCTAGTATTGTAAAGGAAATAATCTCCACAAAACTTTTGTGGAGATTATTTCCTTTACAATACCATGGATTACCACAAGATATCTGCTACCCCCACGGAATTTAACTTCGCTAGCTTTTCGGTTTTGCCAGATTCTACCTACAGGCACCTTAAAGACAATTTTTGACATGTTCTCCAATGTTCGTTACTCTAAGAGTATAATTCAACCTGACTTTAAGAATATTATAGAAGACTAAAACATGAGCACTTTTTCACAGAAAAGTTTCATTTTCGACAAACTGCATAAGAAATTATTTGTAGCAATAACGCTTACTAATGCAACAATGTATAAAAACACCCATGATGTAAATATTAACGACACGGTAGAACCAAAAGAAAACAACGAAATTTATTTTATGATATGCATTTGCATTTACCACAAGTTTTGTATTTAGTACAAAACGTTTGAGAAAAATTTGTTTCAAAATTGTCCATATTTCAATCAATTTCGCGAAAACTATTAATATTTTCAAAAAAATGTACATGAAATTACTTAAAAAACTAATTGTGAACAACAATTTCATTTGAAGATTTTTTAATTTATTTATTTTACGACAAAAACAAATTGTGTGACGTGCTACGGGAAGTAGTGTATTCTGTGTTCGTTTTCCTAATTCTGGGATTCCTACCCTAAGTCATACACAAGTCGAAGTCTGAATACAGAATGAAATTAGCGCTTTTGGTAAGAATTGATAACAAAATATTCGCACTGATGTAATACAATATGTTTTCCATAGATTTAGTCTCTTGTCCCTCCTCATGTTCTTTGTGAAAGAATATACTTCCTGCCGTGACATGGAAACGATAATTGTAATAACTATATTTCTCATTGAACTCTAGAAGACGTGCACAAATAACAGTGTGCACAGTCACAATAATGTCCAGAAGCAAAACAAGGGGTCCTCTGAACATTTGCTCAAAGGATCAGAGAAACTGGACAAAAACCCGATTGTCATTGACCCAAAAGCTGAAGTACTATACCTGTTACAGGTGGTTTAGATTTGTACAGTCCAATTGCTACATAATACATTAAATAGCATTGTTAAAATTAATATTTCTTTCCTTTTTGATGTTCAGTATATACTCTAATTGTATAGAAACAGTTGTGTAAAGAAAAATGTCTATATTCTATAAAGTACGTGTATGACGTTGAAATGCGGTTGTAATTCCAAACTTTTGCTATTTCTGAAAATTCGCAATAAACAGAGAAGATCGGACCCATGTCATGTCTGTAAGTATATTTCACTTTTTTCTTACAAGAATTTCACCGGAAAAAATTTGAGTCATTTTTGAGAAATAACCCTACGCCACCAGCCTCTCAGCAACATTCCCCACGCTTTAAAAAAAACAGATGATGCTAAAACAGCACGTACTTTCTCGCCAGTATTTTCACGTACAATTACGCGAAAAGTACTCAAATTTTCGAAAATTATATAAGACCTTATTTCAAAAAACTTTTGAACTTTTACAATTTTTGAAAAATCAGTTTTCAAAGAACGTGAGACCTGTACCATTTTCTTAAACGTACTTCACATTATCCAACAACACAATTTAATCAAAAACCTCTTTTTAAGCCATTTTTTTTAATTTAAAAAAATGTTCCATGAGCTTTATGCGAAGTTCTCCCCAAAATTAAAATATTGATTTCAAATTTAAGGGTCCGCGACATCAACCAGATCGATTGAGGAATATCAATTTTGGAAACAATCGGCTGAACGTTTTAGCCGCTAGCGTTGCTTACAGATGGACGGACGGATGGACATACAGACGTTTAGCCGTCATTCAGTTTTATCGATACACCAAGGACCCACAAAACATTGATTCAGGCTACACCACGTGTTAAAAGGATTTTGTTATAAATTTAGGAACTGGATTTATCCACCTTTTCGTTACCAGTGCCCTGTCGTAAGAGTTTTTCTGCCGACAATTCGCCGTTTTTTCGCGCAACAATATATAGCTTTCTCTCTACTTTGTAGCAAGAATCTAAAAAAGAATTTGCAACAGTAATTTTCAAAAATCCAGATATTTTCACTCACTGTATTTCAAGATGCAGTTTTATACAAGGGATCTCATTCCGAAAAAAGTCTCTATCATCATTATTGAAATTTTGTGATGTTAAGTTTGTTTTAGTTTTTTTAATTTTTGAAAATATAGTATGTTCCCCGAAAAGGCATTTTTCAGCTTTCTTTGCTCCATTATAGGGAAAATATTGTAATAAGAAAAAAATTGGAGCCGTTTTTGAGAAAATGTATAAGCTACCTTTTACCACGCTAAAATTATGCGAAAAGTACTCGCTTTCTCAAAAAATTGCATCTTTATCTAAGATACAATTTTTAGAACATACTTCATTAAAGGAAAAAATGTTTACTGTCAATATTGTACTTTTGCAAGGTTTGGCAATCTCCGAAATACAGAGAGTTAGCCGAAAATGGGATCTGCACTATTTACCACATGCATTTTTACCGTCCTTTGCTAAACTCTTTTTGAGAAAATAATTGTGTAAAACGTGCCTATGAAAAGTAGACAATATAGAAAATAAATCCGTACGTCTCTATAATAATTTGTAAAAACGTTTGAAAAATCCCACTTTACAATATGAAGTTATCTGTTAGTAAACAGTATATAATAAGATACATCACATCTCTTACGTTTGTCCAAATGATGTTGACTTCAATTGCATTCCTTTTGCCCATTTCAGCTACTTATTAGTCATGGTAGGAGTTATTTTCGCTTTATTTTTTAACCTTCTTGAAGGAAGTCCCTTTTTACAATTGATAGGATATTTCAACTCCATTCGATTGAAGTTGATTGCTCAAGTTCTTACTGGTGTTCCTTCTATTCATCTTGACCTTTTGAATCAATTTTTGTTAGGACCTCCCAGATAGAACCACTGCAGACAGCAGTAATGCTCTAGCAGCTAAACGCAGACGCACTCGATTTGAATGCGAGTATTTTCGTAATTTGGATTTTAGGCTTCGTTCTTCTGCATGTGACTAATTTTGTGTTCCCCATTTTTTAAGAGAGAACTCTTTTTTATAAACTTTTAGAGTTTCTACCATTGTCTTATTTCTGCGGAGTAAATTAGTGTATGTAGAGCAAATTTTTAATATAATTGATACCGAACGATACCTATTTCCCATGATGGCCTCGCGGTCTGAGAGAACTCAGCGACGGGTCTTGACTTAATCAGCGGCTACTCAGAGGTTATCTCACCCGGCGGCTCTGAATACCAATACTCCGTTTCTTGAAGATTCTTCTTAAATAAATGAAAATTCGAAAGTTCAAATGAATTAAATGCATAATTTCAACCAAGGCAAAATACAGTCAACTATATCTACAGGCAAAAGTCTATCTCTGTGTTCGACGTATTTTACGATTTTATATCTCGATAATATAATAATTTTACCTACCAAAATCTTGCTGGTCTTGTCACCAAACGTCTCCTAACTGTAATGTTGCTGCGGCACAAATTTTATAAATTATTTGCGAAATTATTCACTCAAACATAAAAGGTTATTACTGCTTACACACTAACTCTCATCAACATTTTCTCTCAGGAAGAAAACATACAGGTTTATGTAAGAAATCTTTTAGTCATTCTGATATCTTGAATGCGCTGTAGGTAAGCTTTATTTGCAGTTTTTCCAATGGATCTTTCCGATACGACATCATGAGCAGTACCATTCTGCGCAAACTTTAAGCTCTACTGTCCAAACAATGTTTTAAGTATTTTTTGTTTTCAGTTGTTATTCTAGAACAGTAAATAATATTTTTCATATTATCGAATTTGTTATAAACGTTGTTCAGTAACATCTCTAGAAAACCTTTCAGTTAAGGAAACTAATTATAAATGAAGGACTTGGTATTATTTCTGTACCACATTTTGGCTAAAACTGTTATAACTATTCACGTGTCTAAGGTTCCTAGTTAGTAGTACTAACTTTTTACATACACAGCAAATGAAATCAAGAGTTTATATTCAATTAGAGACTGTACTGAGCATCAATAAGGAAAATAGTATTTAAACAATGGCGTATATAATGCATATAAGACCATGTCTAAATCCAACCCAATGAACGTCCTACACTAGATTATTCAATTTCTCACCGACTTGATAAGTGTCAACGAAGATGAAGAACTAGCTAATTAGATTTAAGTGGTGAAATCAAAGTAAACGGTGTTAAATTTGACAGTGACAAAATGAACGGTGTTTCTTATTATGAGTATAAATAGATTTACATTTTCTTATTTGTTTGTAAATAGCGTCTGAATAAGGAAGTTCCCGAACTGGATGCTCGAGAATTCTACCATTGAGGCCCTTGCTTTCTACGGGATAATAATAATAATAATAATAATAATAATAATAATAATATAATGCATTAGTTAACATTTACCGGCTTTGATGGAATAGTGGTTATCATGCCGGGCGGGAATGTTTGAGGTGCCAAAAATCGCTTGTCTGCATGTAAAATAGATCCCAGGAAAGGCACTTGTCCGATCCTGGCAAAATTAAATCATCTAGCAATTTCTCACCAATCAGAGTTTCCATTTGAATTGCTGGATAAGATTGCGGATATTGTATCTTGGCCTGTTCTATCTGATATTCAAATCGAACGTCAAAATTGGCGCTCTAGTACATCTAGGAATGCAATGGCAAAGTATCGTACGTGCATGTGCTCAGAATAAGTTTAATAAGAATAAGTAACAAAATTTATTTTTGCAAAAAAAGCAACAAATTCCTATGTAATTATTTTTTATTTATCTTTGTAATTTCTTGGTTTTCTTGCCAATGCGATGCTAATTTGATGTCAAGTTATAATCGCGTGTGCGAAAAATTACATTTCTGGAATTGTTTAAAGAGTAAAAAAATTTATTTTATGGAAAGTGCTGAGCAACAAGAAAGCGAAAAATTCCCATGTAATAATTTATTTATCTCTTTAATTTCTTGGTTTCCTTGCCATTGAGGTGCATACTTGCCATAAAGGAAGCCGAAGTTTTAATAATAGTGTCAAATAAAGAGCAACATTTTTTGAGTAACAAATTAGCAAACAAATATTGTTTAATTTCCATATTTTTTTAAAACTTTGCAGTTGTAACTTTATGGAGCCGCGGCCCCAGCTGTACGGGTACAATGTACAACGCCTTCGCATACCAGATATGTTTATGTCTTGGAGGGTGCCGAGCTGCCGACTGTCGAATTCAAGACCTCTTGCAGGCGATGTTCATTCATTAACTGCATTTTACTTCTTTTTCCATTCATATATGCGTATAAACTTTTTATTTAGTTATTTTTGTTGTCGTTGTTGTTCTTCTTCTCCACTTCAAGAATAGGTCTATGACCTGATCCGGCTTCTAAGAATTCCATCTTTTTAGGGGTCTACCTGGAGTTCTTCTGCCTTGAAGCCTATACTTAAACACCTGCTTTGGAATGCCTGCTTAATCCAACACCTGCTTAAACAATTTTACAAACTTCTTGCTTTGTTGTTTAGTATCCTACTAATTTAAGGCTTAGAGTTGAAAGTTTTATTAGTAATTCACATTGAAATAGAAAGTGAATATCCCCTCCCGACATTGACCGGGTTTGAACCAGCAAACTTGGGTTCAGTAGCTCGGTATGATAACCACTATCACTATTCCATCAAAAACGGTAAATGTTAACTAATGTATTATTATTATTATTATTATTATTATTATTATTATTATTATCATCATTATTATTATTATAGCCCGTTACAATCCCATAGAAAGCAAGGGCCCGGCATTGAAATTGTAAATAGTAGAATAATATTTATAATTGTGTCTTTTATTTTGTCTTGCTTATGTCTTAAGTTTGTCTCCTTAATTCCAAGAGGTGCTATCACTCTCCATTATATTTAACTTTCTGTCATTAAATTAATATTTAAGCCAATTTCACTTCATTTATCTTTTGACCGATCCGTCATTTCCTCTTACGAGGTGGACCTCCAGCCCTTTTAGTAGCCATCTGGCTACAATGTCGAGCTACCGAAGGCCGATTATGTGTGTGCATATAGACAGCAGTAGAGTCTACGCTGTTGACGCATTGTGTGTGGCGTCGTGTGACAGTTGGGTTCGAGGTGAGTACTGCATTTGCACGCGCTCACATGACTCGGACGTGCATATGCACAAAGCCGGAATCGTTTGAAATCAGTGGCAACTGGTCCGTATGTGCTGCACACTAGCTCTCTTCTTCTCTTTAATAAATAAAACAATTATGTTTAAAAATATGGGATACTTGTTTAATTCGCTGATCAAAATGCTAATAATATGCTTAATAATAGCGGAGATCACCTTTAATTTACTGAACACGCATGCCTAATTCTAGATCTGTCTGGTATCTGGAATGTGGTTTTCAACGAGACGGTCAAATGACATCACGCACAGCACGAGAAATCGTGTTGTGCACATGCACTAAAATGCTGGCCATTAAGCTCTTGAAAGATGTGAGATTCACAGCATCGAGCCTTGCTCTTGGCAATACCTCACATGTATGTCATCTATCAAGCGGTTTCACACTAGGTCACTAGATTGCGCGAAATCACAGTATGTATATCGGTGAAGGCGTCGGTATATACATCCGCGAAGATCGTAGGAATAAACTTGTATTATCTTCAACAAATACAGATTGCCTACGTAGTGAATATCCTTTTATCGAAGTTGGACTTTTAGGGGGAAAATGTCTCTTGGCTGTCATATATTTACCTCCCTAGCCAGGCAGCTTAGATATGTTGGACGAAACCTTTGCATCTGCGATAAATTCTTACGAGCATATTATTGTAATGGGTGACTTTAATCACAACTTATTAAAAGACTTTCCCTCTGCAGAGATTTTATACGCTTTTTCCACAGCATGTGCCTCGGAATTTTACCTCTAGCACCAACAACACATCACTCAAAGAGCACAGAAACTTGGATCGATCATATTATAGTGTCTAATGCAAAGTTCGAAAACACGGTCAATTTCCAGTTCCTGGGATTTCAAAACATCTTGTTTACAACCTGAAGCGCCGTAAATACTCACCTCACATAATAAAATACTACGATTTTTCAATATTCGATAAGCAAGCATTTAACATAGATGAATTCACACTTCCATAGCACCTTGTACACGAAGAAGAATCATTGGACGCTAAAGTGGCGATTTTCACTAACTCATTAGCTCTATTATCGGCATGCGTCTTTAAAAATTTCGCGCGAAACTCGACCTCTTGCACTATGGTTAAATGACGAAATCCTCAATTTAATGAAAGATCGTGATGCAACGTATGCTATTTTCCGGAAAACTAAATGCAGTACAAAATGCTCAGAAATTCCCTTAGAATTACTAAGGCATAGTTTCATAAATAACGTTCCTTCATTTGACAGTAAATTGAAAAGGTAATCTCTTGCATTTCTCCAGACTTCAGCAATAAAATCCACGATCTTTCCGTCCTTTGAACATCAGGATATAATCAAAATCGTTCCAAGTCTCAAATCAAATGCTTCAGGTTCCGATGGTATAAATGCCAAACTGCTAAAAAAATAGCCTAGATGTGACATAACCAATCACCACCGAGATAGTAAACTTCTCACTAATGAGCGGACAATATCTCTTAGAAATCTCTTAGGAAGACTGCGCTCGTGCATACTATTTCCAAGACAGCATCAAACAAAAACCCTATTGAATACCGCCCAATTACCATCCTCCCAACTATCTCTAAAGCACTCGAAAATATTGTACGGAAGCAAACCGAACAGTGGCTTCGAAAAAAATAACTTTTAAACGATCGGTAATCAGGTTTCCGTTCCGGCAGGAACACAGGAACCGCGCTACTAAACGTTATTGAAGACGCGAGAACAGCAATAGATTTACAGTAATCTCCCAAGTAACAGTAACTCACAGTAATGGAATCTCCCAAGGGCAATTATTTCTGGACCATCTACTAGAACACAGACGATTAAGAATAGGGTCTGTCCAACTTAAAATGAAGTAATAAGTACTAAGTTAATAAATAATTCAAACCAGGATGATTCAAACGTTCCACTAGTCGATTTATGGTAACAAACAAATCGCTTTCTGAAGGAACAGTTGAAGTGTGATCAGTTAGACAAATAAAATTACTTTTGGGGGCCCCTTGTGTCCGTTAAACCCAGGTACTCGCACCTGCCGGGTCGGAGGTAGTTACGCCAGTGGTTCTACTTCTCGTCACTAACGTTGCATCTGACGTGGCGAACTCTCGCAAGGTTTGCAGCTACTCTACCCTAAAATGATACATGTAACATGCATCGCACATGCACTAAATGGAGTTGCGGAAGAAATTCGTAGAAATTGGTTCCTTTGATGACATTGCCTCCCCAACCCATTATTGCAAGTTGGGGCATGTGACTTATCGCCGCAATCTACAACTGTACCAATTAAAAATCTATCGAAGAGATTATCGCATGCAATAAAGACGAAGCTGCCTCCATCAAAACCGCCATATTATAGACTAGATATAAACAAATCTATAAATTCTTTCTATCTAGCCAAAAAAACAAAGATTGCATTTTAATTAAATCAATTTATTATTGAGTTTTAAAATATGTATTGTACAGTTAAGTATAAATATTTGTGATCCAAATAAATTATTAACACTTTCGTTATGACTCACTGAGAAAGCTGCATCATTGAATTACCGTGCAAATAACAATAAGGATCGTCACTTCTGTGTTCAACTAATCTAATTAATAACATTCAATAATCAATTAAATAATTAACAAAATAAAAAACAATTCATATAATTGCAGCACAATTTACTTAAATTATTAACATAAACGAATATTTTCATGTTCACAATTGCGCTCACACTTGCCCCCACCACTACTAGATCCGAAATCCCGCCTCTGGTGAAGAGAACGGAAGCCGTTGATATTTTATTGTAGTTAGCATAACGCCTGAAAGTGAATGTTATTGCAATAACCAAACAGATCACAAATAAGGCAGCAAACTAAAAATGATATATTTGTGGTTTGATGACTTCTATTTTTATAGTTATATGCCGAACATAATGAAGGTATTGTGAATATTACTATTTTAACCACTAATATAATTTAAAAACAGTAAACTAAAAAGACGATATAGAAATAAGATCTGATACAAACAACTCGTTGATTCAATACAGGTCTACACACCATCAGGCATCCTCTCATGTTCCGACTGCAAAATACATGGCGGCGCTTAGTTCGTCGAGCGTCCACCAAGAGCGCTGAAACCACAGGGCCAGCCTGTCTACGTGTACTATAATAATTGGTACATTTTAGCTTGTTCTAGCTCGTTGGGATGCATTAAGCCCACAATAATGTGGGCCCACAACGCTGAAAAAGCTATACCACTGCCTTAAGCAGAGCGGGAGGGGGCGAGAAGAGGGCAAAAGGGCTTGGCAGCTCTCAAAATGTTGAAAGGGTTTATATCATAACGCCCCCCGGCATAATATCAAACATTCTATGTTAAACCTGATAAAAAAATACTCAAAAAGTAAAAATTTGTCAAATTTTTCCAAAAATGTTAAAAATTCGGAAATATTACATTGTTAACTGTGATAATGCAAGATTCAGCCCTTTGTAAAGAATGCAACCTACTTCCATGAGAACCAGTATTTTGTATAGAAAACGTGAATTTGAATAACGGTATTACTCAGTGAACTCTGCAAAACGCGCACAGATAGTGAAGTTACATAAATGTCCATAAGCAAAACAAGCATTTGTTCATTCTATCAGGAAAACTGGAGATGGGGTCTTCCAACCGCGAGGCTGAGATTCAATACTTGTTCATGAATATTTAGTCTTTTAAAAGTATGCACCTTAAATGGTAGCTAATTCATTAAATATCATTGTTAAAATGAATATTACTTTCCTTCTTGATGCTCGGTATAGTCTCTGATAATAAAGAAACAGTGAATCAATTTTTATTGTCATCTGGCAACGTGTAAAATAATGTATATGTATTGAATACAAATTGTTTGTACAGAGCTGTTGATATATACATCTGATGATCATGATTACATCAAATGTTAAAGTAATATACACCTGTAATCTTTAAAAATTGGTTCCCACTCGCGAGACATATTTGTCAAAAACCACTGTTCCTTTTCTTGAAAGACGGTCATTTCATGCATGTTAATAACACAAAAGAGCAATTTTTTGTACTTTTATTATTTTTATATGTATAAATACACTTTTTGTTTACATGACATGTATTAATTTACATTTTGTACAGCACTTACTTTAATTTAACCTAAAGTATCATGTAGTTTCATAACATGTTACACTAGGATATAGTGAAACCATAGTTGAAATCACAGGTTTCTTTTGAATTACAAAGTCATTGTGCAAGCACACTGTTCACAATGCATTGAGAACTGTATCATCCCTATGGCTGCAAATACGATTTCAATCCTGCAGCAATAAAATAAAGAGTGTTCTTATTGCACTCATTTGTACTATAAGAATTTAACAATTTCTGATACATAAGTCTTCTTCCTATATAACCAATTTTGCAATATCTAATTGCAAAATTTAAATGTCTTGTAATATGGTGTTAAAAAAAAATAACAAAAAAAAATGTGGAATTCTAGGCAACATATTTGTCTACATTTTTTGTGTTCCCTACTCACTGCAGTGTGAGTAACAGAATGCTGATACAATTGGAGGGCTCAAGGAAATTTTCCCCTGAACCTATTATTCACATCCTTAAACACTGTTATGAAAGTTTTCTAAGTTTTGTCATAACATCCAAATTTTTCTGTATTTGGAACGAACCTCCCAAAGTACACATGAAACTATTTCAATTTTGTATTGACACTCGAACTATAATTTCTAATTCAGTAACACATTTGTCATAAAATTAAATCTGAGGTATGCCACAATCACATGGCTTGTCAGAAAATTTGCATGCCCTTCACATAACACTATTCCCAATCACAAGATTTACACTTAACTTCACAAACAACTTCGTCTTCTGCCATGATGGTAATGCTTTTGCTGGTATATTATGCTACTCACTACTTTTCAACAATAACAATGGTATAACAGTAAATAAAACTGTCAACTATGACAAGGTAATTTGTATTACACAAACACCCATTTATATACAGGTAACAAACATATTCATTGTTTTTGTTGTTGTCATTTTTAATTTCTTTTCAATAGCACTGCTGTTCCAAGCACAAAGCTTACAACAAAATGTCAAAAGGCACTAACATTATCGCCATTTATCTACCATTAACACACTCACAGCCTTTTATTAAAGTTACATTTGGGGATAAGATGACGGAGGGGTTCAAAAGGTTCATAGTCTAACAAATCTTAAGCCTATTTCAGAGAATTTCTTTTGAGTGCTTGATTCAAAACCTAATGTATCGCTCACTAGTTACAAAAGGAACTAGTTCAGTCCAACATGAAGCTATACACATGTAGTTAACTTTTAACTATGCTGTTTTTGTCACACTTACAACCATTCCTTAAATTGAATTTTTATATACAATTTTATGTACATATATACCTCATAAATCTACATAAAGACGTAACAAATTTCTAACAGACACTTCAACAAGAAAATTGTGACGTTAGACCACACTTACACATTAGCATAATCTTTTACATTTTTTCTAAGCAAATTTTAAAACACTCTGATCAACAGAGCATACCTTACATACTAAAAAACAAATTCCAACCCAGTTAAAACTTCTTTTTGCATTAGCGGATTATAAAAATGCTGTTTCTTTTCTTTATATATAGAGAAGACCAGATGCCAAAATAAGAGCAGAATTATTAAATTTGAATTACCAATGCATTATTCACAACATCAAAACTAAACTGCATCAAAAATAACTTTTACAAGCTCCCAAACTCACTTCTATTAACATTCCAAGCACATTATTAGGGAGAACAACATTAAGTACAGTCATAACACAATTTTTGAAAACAGCTGTGTGCATCAAGATAAATGTACAGATAAAATCCACTGATGTTATACATATCCAGTCATTCAAGAAGAAATAACAAACCATAATAACACCCAATAACTGATAGCCAAAATTTCACATCAATATTGGAGAAAGTTTATTCACAAACCCCTCCTCCTCCTTAGCCCCTTTGTTTGTACCTTGACAAAAAATAATTGTTAGTATATCACTTTTAAATTTAAATATTCTTAAGAAGAGAACACAATGTTATTGTCAGCACAATATTGAATGACTAGTTTCACAAGTCCCAATATTATTTCAATTTAATTTTGAAAAGTAATATGCACTAAAATATTTCAATACTGTACTGTAACTTTTTCTAACAGGCAAACACTAATCAACAGAGTAAGTAATTTAGAAAAAAGTATGACATCCAAAATATGGAACTTCCAACAACTTTCCATTTGTTTATTTTATTTACTGATCCTGCATAAATTATTGCATTCAAATACACGCAAGAGCATTGGTGGTAACACAAGCATAGTTTGACAGTCTTATTATGTTTTTAAATATGATCTCTATAAGTTGGTATGTTCAATCAAGAAGTAAAGATGCCTACAATACTATTAATATTGGCTTACCAGTCTTACACCCACATTGCAGTCTTTTGTCATTGCTATTGCTTCTGCTATTGATTTTTAATTACTTCCATGTGAGCAAAAAATTATTCACATATAATAAAATATAGGAACTTCATATAATTTACAGTGAAGAACATGGAGAGGTCGCAATAAATATTTTACAGTTACACAAAACATTGGCTTCGATTTGGATAAAAATCAGCAGAATTTGCTTCTTTGCCGGCGTATATTAGTTATCCAATTAATTTCTAGCATTTACTCAATTTCCACACACATTCAGGCAAAGTCACCAAAACAGTGCTTACTGCAGTGATGTTAAAAAGGAGATAATCTTAGTGTACTCATCTAAAATAAAAGTTGAATAAATACTCCACATGGTATACCATATCACTGCAGAAATGCTACTGCTAACTTCAACAGACTTCCCCGACCTCATTCAAACATCCAAAATTTTATCCATTCACACAAACGCATGCAAACATTTTTTCACATATATGACATAGAAATGCCCAAAACATGTCAATGTATTCACTATAACTTTAAATGAGCCTTTTTAATTGAAAAAAAGGAAGGAAGAAAGAAAAGACTCGTCAATTAGCACCAAATACAGTGCCTTGGTAATTTTTCCCTCAAACGTACTCAACTGTTCACGTTTCCAGTGACAAAATATATTAAGAGAAAGCAATACCAGAACTCTGCATCATAGATTTTCATTCACTTTAGCAAATTCGCTAATTGCATAAATGTCACAATTTCCAGAAATACAAAATTAGTCATTTCAAGGGTAAATGTTTATACTCATTTTAAAACATGTGACCAAAGGAAACTGCTTTCGAGCTACCCTACGTTATTTTGGCATCAATTTTGGTCTTTTAACAAAACAAATAGCTTTTCAAAGACCATCAACTTACTTTGAAAATAGTTTCCCTGAGATAAGCCTTATCCACTCTACTAATGGATAAGAAAACCTACACTCGTATAGCCTTGGAAATTGGAATCAATCTCTGCTCTCATAAACCTTTCTTAACATGTGCGTCAACATTTACAATCAAGCTGAAATCGCCTTCCTGAAATTTCAGGTATCTAATGGGTTCCCCCTTATCAGCAAGGCAAGATGTGGACTTCACAAGAACACCTTGTTTGTAGACCTATCATAACGAGTGCACAAAGAAAATTAACCAAAATAAACACACTACAATGCTGCCTGCAACATTTAAGATCATTTGCAAACACAGCAGGAAGAGCACATATTACCTCTACTTACAATAACTATAAATACAATGGCTCCCTGTCATTAATGTACATGTACTGAGACAAAAATGACAAGACACTGACAGAAGTAGAAGTAATAAGGAAATAAATTATTGCAATGTCTTTTGATTCATACTGTCAAAATAGCAGAAAATCCATAACAAAGACTCAAAATTTAATGATTAGTTTGGTAACAGAAGAAATATTACCTCACTTCATAGGACAGAAATTTGAAGACAATACACATCTTACAAGTATATAATAATCTTATCTTTACAACTAGTCACCAATTCGTCCTTAAAGAATTCAAAAATTTAAACAAAAGTTACCATAACTTTCCTCATTTCAATAAATGAACTGAGCTCAAATAAGTCATGGCATTTGTACTATTTCTTTTAAAAAATTCTAATAATGTATATTAGGGAGATCATTATTATGGCTTACTGCAATACATCTAGAATAATGTCCATCAAAATATATCACAGATGAATAATTTCTATGACTTCTACTGTACAACAAAGCTACTCTATCCAATCTCAATATGAGTACTGGAATATTCTTCACACTATGAGATAACCACAAAAATAGGCCTTACTGTCAACAAGGGAGGAAGGACTCCCAATGTGAAAGATTCACAGGTGTAGAAAATAAGTTGACCATGTACAACCACACACATACAAAATGAAGTGGTGAAGACATAGAAATTTTAAGTATACTTAATGGGAACAAACTGCAGCCCATCACTGTGGTTACAATTGCCTGTATGTGTGTTTAATAACTTGTTATTTAGAAAAGTTTCTCCATAAAACAAAGCTTTTAGGAAGCCTTTCACTAATAAATCCATATTTGACATTAGCAATGGAACACTATATCCTATCTACACACTTCTGTGTATGGATTCATTCACTGAAGGGATTGTGTCCATTTTTTAAAAACTGAGACATCTTAGTGAACACAATGGATTTCGACTGTCTTTTCAAAACACTCGCACACTCATCTACATAAAAAAATCACATAAATTACGGTTCCAAAGTTTTGGAAACACATGCAATCAAGCTTTACACATTTGGGCACAGATGTTGGTAAGATCCAAATCCCCACACACTGAAAGTTTCCTGTCAGCTGCCACATCAACACTGTGTATTGTTTCTCTGTTCTTCTCCATTTGTTTTTTCTTTTTTTATCATGGTGTATAATTCGCTACACACCTGTGCACAATGGAAGCCAAAACAAACAAAAATTTTTGCACAAATGAAGATTGAAAAGATAATAAGAGTAACACAGTAAACACTTTGGTGGGTGGACACTTGCCAAGAACAAACTTACTTTATTAGATTTAAAACTAAGATTAATCTAATGCTACAAACAAAAAAAAAGAACTTCCAGGTGGTGAACAGGCTCATAGACTCTAAAGTATTAAGTATAGCAATCCTTTGCTATTCCCGTTCTAAGTATTAATGAAATTATAACACCTCAAAAAGGAAAGCAATAGGTTATCCCCTACAGTAACTGAGATCATTGCAATAAACATGGGATCATATGCTTCCTCTTGCAAGTTTATATGAAAGAGCACCAAGTACTAGAGTAAATTCACCACCCAAAAGTAAACATTTTTATTGGACATTCTAGGCAACAGTGACTAATTTTGAAACGCTATACCAAAATTTAACAACAGTAAGAAAACTTACAAGTAAATTAAGTATGTTTTTCCAACATATTTAAATTAAATTACAAGGTATGTAATATGAGATGATTGATCTAGTGCATGATGAAATAAACATGGAAAATAAATTAAATGTGAACATATAAGGTTATTGAAGAGGGTTGTCTTACAGGGCAAGAGCCTGTATTTCTTGACAGGCTTCTTGCACAGCAGCATCTGTGTTATCCGTAACACAAGGTGTACTGGGTGCTGTCATTGGCATAAGAGACGAAGCATCACCAGCTCCACCCTTGTCCATACCTGCCACCACTTTAGCAGAGTTCAGAGCCTGGACACCATTCACACTCACTCTCGAGTATTTACCACCAGCAGCACTGGTGCTGTTACCACCTGGCCGGTTGCACTGAATTGAAGAGGACTTGCGGCCATTTCCCACATACCGCCTTTGGGCGGATGGCCCACTTGCAGCTCCGCCAATGCCAGCACCCGCTCCGCTGCTGCCCACATTAGGAGGAGGGCTGTTTGAATTGGTGGAGTTGCAAGGCTGGTAATAGATGTGGCGGGCACCAGGATGGTACTGAGGGGAAACAGAATGAGCCATCTCAGGAATTTGACAACTTAGCTGAGTATAAGGAACAGGAGGAGGAGGAGAGCGGCTAGCAGGGGAAGGGTGACTTCCAGCAGCATTTCTCCTCTTATTCATTGCTGCAGGCCCCACTGGAAAACGGCCAGCCATAGGATTACGAACATTGCTATTAGGGCCATTAATAGGAAAGCGTGTTGCCTGTGAATTAAACCTTGGGCTCTCTCTAAAGTAATTTCCGGGTCCATTCCTGGTATACGATCGTTTCTGATATGGCAAAGGAAATGCTGAGCCATTTTTATCGTTATTGTCTGGAGCCAAAGGATTATTATTGTTTACAAATTGATACTTGGATGAATGGTTGGGCATGCCAGAACTTCGCTTATCATTCCGAACATGAAGTGGCATACCACCATTAGTCATTAAGGGACGGAACTGATCCCCATACATTGGTGGAATAGGATTCATAAATGGAGGATAATTAATATGTTGATTCATATACAGAGGGGAACCAAGAGAAGGATTACCAACAGGAACCATCGGGTGATACATAAGAGGCATCACAGTAGCATTTGGACCAGGACCTGAAGGCTGGAACGGTGGAAGGGAAGAAGAAGTAGGAGGAGCGGGAGGAGGAGTCATAGCATATGGGACACTGGCACTGCGGGGAGGTTGCTCTCCATCTGGTTCATCCTGCTGTTGCAGTTTAAGAAGTGATACTACAGGTGGCGTATCATTGTTCTGGCGGCCTGCTGAAGGGGCTGATCCAGGTTGATTGGTGCTAGAACCTACACCATGACCTGAATTTGTTTTGTCTGGGTGAACTACCCCATTGACATTTGGAGGATCTTGGTTGCCTTTGTTATTCCCTCCATTGCGTTGTAAATCCGAGCCACTTGTGTTGGAAGACCCTTCCTATAAGCAGCATCAGTACAAATCAATATAATAGCAAGCAAACAAATTATTACACGTAGAATTAAACATGCAGTACTATATTAGCATACACTACTATAACAATATTCAAAACTTTGTATAACACTAATTATATGCTACACAATCTATAATACGAGCCAAAATGCATACTTTGCCTTCTTGTCATTTCTGCATACAGCGCCAAAGACAAGTAATAGAAAAATAATACATCCATTTTACCCCTTTCTCCAACAAAACAATTTGACAAATAATCTATCGCACACTGAAGTCCAAACGAACTTCACAGAGAATGAATTACTACTTCATAAATAATAACAATACCTTTGATCGTTTCATATATAAAAAATGCAAAAGGTAGGGTAACATTGTGAAAACCCAATTTATTTCAGTTTTTGTAAGCAAGGATAAAGTAAATAAAGTTTATGTAAATTCTTATGGAGTAAATAGTGTTCATTTAAATCCAAAGTTTGTGAATGTTATGGCTATTGCCTAAATTTGACTAATTTCCATATTAGCCAAATAATATTCGGATCATTCAATATCGGTGGTTAAGTCTGAAGAAGGTACAACTTCAAAGCTTGCTTAAGACTTGCTGAATGGAGTGCATATTGGCCTACACAACATTAGCTAGGGCAGGTGAAATATGTTACAGTAACATGAACTAGGTGGTGTCTGGGCATTTTGTGATAAACAAGGATCAAGCTGCTGATGAGAAGTTTTTAAGGCTAGTGAGAAATGAGGTGTGTAGTTGCAAGTTATATTGTGTCAGTAGTAAATCTGTATTCACATAATACCATCCTAACCTCACTACATTCTTCAACTGATCCTTCTTAATCCATTTCATTTCCATCCATTTCTGAACCTATGATGAGGCTTCAGATTTAGGCCTTTATTATTTAGATAAAACAATCTTAAGGCTCTACAATGGATAATTTCCAAGGCATTTTTACACCAGATACTTCTTATGAACACAAAGACACCTCGCACACCAACAGTAATGTTGGCATTAGCTAGTGCCCAATGGCTAATGCCAACATTTCCCAAACGAAGTCCTAATTGATCTGGTCATCATTCATAAAGCTTCATCCAAACAGCCAGGCTAATGTGTGACTCCTAACATTCACCATAATACTGCTTTCTATACTCATTGTAGTTTTATAAACATGTATGTAAAGCATTTGGATCATAATATAAGCTGTTTAGGAAAATTCAAGATATTATGGTGATTTGTGAAATGTGTGTTCTCAGTACAATCTCCCAATCTATTGCTCAAATAATATTTCTATCTACTTGACAACTAGCAACTAACTGGGGAGAGGGGATTTTGTTATCCAATCAGAGGCTTCTTACTCTGATGTCACTGCAGTATTGCTGATACATATTATGAAAAAATTAAATCTAAAAGTTCAAAGCATTTGAAAATTAAAGACTGCCATTACTTCTTCATTCTTCTGTTATACATTGTGTATGCGATTTGTAGTAAGCTCTTATTGCGATTTTTTTCTTAATATTGCTGCTGTTGTGATTTGATGCGAGAAGGACCACATAACCGTGTACGTGCCTGTCCCCTGAGTGACAACGCTCTACCCCACCCCCCAGCAGTCAAGTGGACAAAAATATTATTTGAACAATACATTCAAACTCATGGTATCACAACAACAGTTTCCAATAAAGGTGAATATTACAAATTTTGATGACTGCACAAAATATGTTCTCAGCACAATGAACATGAAAAACAAGAGTACTCATTAATTTAAAAATGTTGGAAAAATTTCCACAATTAGAAATCTAACCAATAAAAAAGGTGTGCATATCATTTATTCTCCTCCACTTCAAGGATTGGTCTATGACCTGTTCCGGTTTCTAAGAATTCCATCTTTTTAGGGAACTTTCTGGATCTCTTCTGCCTTGAGGCCTATACTTAAACACCTGCTTTGGAATGCGAGTATCTTCCATTCTTTCCACATGTTGTAAACATTTCTGTCAGTAACATTGTACCTTGACATTGATTGTTTGGACGTTTAATGCTTTTCAAATTTCCTCATTTCTGAGTTTATGTAGTCTGGTACTTTTACAGATATCAAGAATTTCATTTCAGTAGACTGTAACACCTGTTTATCTTTCTCCCTCGCAGTCCAGCATTCACTTCAACAGAGTCGTGACAGCCATTACTGTATACATCCTCATTAGAGTATCTCTGCATGTTTTATCATTAAGAGTTCTCTGAATATTTCCACATATATTCTGGCATTTATGAATTTTTTCATACGTATCCATTTCTGTGAGGAACGTTCATGTTGTAGCCCAAATATTTAAAATGGCTAATTTGTTCCAGTATTATATTTTCCAAAATTATTTTGGAGTGTATAGGCTGCTTTCCCACAAACACCATTGTTTTGGTCTTTGTTTTTGAAATCTTTAGATTCTATCTTTTGCAAGTTTGGTTTCATTGATAGATAGACCTCTGTAAATCATCCTGAATTTCTTGGATTAAAATTTGAGCATCAGCAAATAGTGTATTTAAGTACACTCCATTTCTAAACTTAATATGTCGATATTGTTCTTCCTTCTTGAATGACGTTATCCAAATATATATTAACATGTTGGGGAAAGGCTGCTCCTTGGCGAACTCCTTGGTTTGTTTTTTATTTCTTTGAATATTTTTCTTACTAGTTCTAAAATAAGAGATATTCTGTTACAGAGATTTAATGTTATTGATAAGTGGTATGGGTAGCTCTTTCTTTCCATAATTTTCCATAAAGTGGAGCCTTTTCAATTTAAATCTTATTTAAAATTTTTGTATATATTTTATAGCATGTGGGTAGTAAACTAATACCTCTATAGTTGCCACAATCACTCCTTTTCCCTTTTTAAATAATGAGATTACTTTCGGTTTTTGCCACTCTTCAGGGACACGGCATTGCTTCCAACATAAATTGAATAATCGAATGGAGGATTTAGTTTTAACAGCAGACCTCCATATTTAATTAGTTCGACATTTATTTCGTCAGGTCACGGACATTTTTGATTTTTTAGCACAGTTATTGCTGTTTCTAATTCTTCTAAATCAATGTCATCTACCGAAGCTTGTACAGGCATTTCACATTGGCTATTTTCGCCTTCAGGGTTATACCATTAAGTTTGATAATGTTTAATCCAGTGACTTCCTTTTATAACTATTTCTTTGGCAATATTTCTTTTAGCTCTGTATACTCTCCATGTTTCATTCGTCTTCATTTGCAGATGCTTTATATATGCTACTTTTTTTTGTGTTATGGCTTGTTCTATCTCTTCGTTCTATTGCATATCATTTCAGAATTAATAATGAGTTGGTTCATTCATTATCCTCCACTCTATAAATATTTTCAAGACTTAATTTCCAGACTGAATATTGTAATCAAAATAACCAAATTGTCAATGATTACTGTAGTACAACTAATAAATAAATGTTGCAATATTTTAAATATTCAGATAAAATTGACTAGTAAAAAGTTATTAATAATGGAATAGTAGTTAAATTGTTGTTAATTACATGCACAACAAAATCATGTCCAATAATGTTGCCTAAATAATTAAATGGGGATTCTTGTTTATTTACCAATTATTGATTCTTCTTGCATCTTTTTAACAACACATTTCTTATCCCTTTTGGGCATTGTGCGAATAAATATCTGAAGTAATCCTCTGTTATTTTTTGTCTTCTGTCTCATAGTCATGTTACAGTCAGTCAAAGCCTTTTATCCCTTCAACAGATTTCTTTTTATTGATATGCCATTTTGTCTTTCCTGTGGAAATTTTCATGTTATTTCGGTGCTGTTTTAAACACTTCATTTACCACAATTTGTAAATCATCTTTTGATTCCTTTATTATACCTACATCATATTCCTGAAGGACTGTGGGGCTTTTGCCTTTTACTGAGATTTATTTCCGTCTTGATTGTTAGTTTCCATTCCTTGATGATAAGGTCAGCATGTATAGTGAACAAGCTTGGTAACAGACTGCATTCCAGACTTAGTTCTCAGTTTGCTGTGAAAGAGTTTGACACGATTTCCCTTTTTCCGTTTTATACTTAAATGTCAGTATGTATAAAGACTTTCAATTCTTCTTCTTATTCCTGTAGGTTTTTCATCTTCCAGCCTTTCCCACATTAACTCTCCATTTACTGCAGCATAGCACCTTTCACTAATAGTGTCAGCCCAGAATTGTTTGTATTGAAAATGCGGTGGTTTTTGTGCTCCTTCCTTTGCTAAATCAATTTTGTTCTTCTCCCAGAAAAGTCGCACTACTTCTTCAATCTGTTTCTTAATATGTTGGGAAAGTTTTCATGCTACTGGTAGAAGTGTCATCAATAGTTACTGCCTTCTAATTACTGTCCTCTCTTATGCAAATTTATTATTATGCCAGTTTTCCATTCTTTTGAGGTTGTGTATTCTTCCTATACTTATTGAGCAATTCAAATGTAGTCACAACCCGACAAGGAATAAATGTCCGCAATCTGTCATTTCATGTATCCGCAATCTGTCATTTCACATGTCTGCAATCTGTCATTTCACGTGTCCGCAATCTGTCATTTAACATATTTGTAATGTGTCATTTCACGTATCTGAAATATTTTTTACAAGTATTTGTAAAAGCTTTTTTACAAAATAAAAATGCTTGAGAATAAAAAAAAACAAAAAAACTTCTATACAAATTTTGAAATTGAATTAGTAACTTAGAAAAAGTATGAAAAACATAATGTGGAAAATTATGGGCATTGAAGAGAGAATTGTGAAGCCACACAATCATGTCAATTTTAAGAAGGGATTAGGGGTTACAGAAAAAATGTAAGTCTTATATTTTATAGTTGGAACAACTCCAAGGAAGAATGCGAGGGCATTATTCATAGACATGGAAGGCAGCATTTGATAACAATTGAGAAAGGAAGTTATGGGATATAATGAAAAAAATGGAATGAATAATGGGGTACGAGAAATAGTGG